AATCCAGTTTTAGAGGAGCTCTGGAAGACAGTTTTGCAAGTGTTCCTCACCAGTTTCCTGATTATTAAGTAAGTAGACAGATTAAAGACAAATATAATACTATGTCTCTGTGTAATGTTTACATAAGCTCTTTAAGACTGCAAGATGGAACTTAGTGAGACCCTCACTCATCTCTACAGTACAGTAAGCTCTCTTAAAAGATTCTCTTTGTACAGTAAGCTCTCTTAAAACCTTCTCTATATATGGTAAACTCTCTTTTAAACTTCCTCTATATTTTTTTTTTTTTTGTAAATTCAGTGGTAAATTACATTTAACATTGAATAGCGAGTTGAATGGTCTTCACAATCTACCTGGAGTCTACCTGGGGGTCGTTCAGGGTGTCAATGCCCGCGTGGCCTAGTGCCTGATCAGGTCTTTCGGTGGATTATGGCCTGATTAACCAGGCTGTTACTGCTGGCCATACGTGCTTTAAAATTTTGGATGCGCTTTTTAGATCTCATTAACAAAAAAATCACACTACCCAGTGGAGCTTTATAAGTGAGCGCACTGCATATTAATATAAACGGGTATCGTTTATATGTACGGGTATATTATATACCCAGGGTGACCTGAAAAGGAATAAAAATTTTTCCCTTCATTCAATCTTACACTGTCTTGCCAGGGGCGTGGCAATCCTAGAGTTCAGACGACCCTTTCCAACTGTATATATCCCCACCCATCCTGCTTCAGAGTGCAGGCACTCTAGCACACAGCGTTACATGATATGCTTACGATACGAACGATTCGGTTATTAATTATCGTTCATTTTGGTATCAGCTGGCGCCGAGCCTGTGTCTGTTATCTGTGTATGGCGCGTTTGTAGTGGATTTTTTTTTTAGCTGCAGTGGATCGCATAAATAGAACATTGCGAAGAACAGAACCTGACTCGCTAAAGTTTTGCCATCCATGTTTTAGCGTTATGTTTAACAGTGGCGTTGAACTGTGCTTCGCTGACTAGCAGTAGACATCCTTGTCTCGCTGACTAGCGATAGACATCTTTGTCTCACTCACTATAGAAAGGCACCCTTGTTTCGCTGACTAGCAATATACATCTTTGCTTCGCTGACTATCAATATACATCCTTGCTTCGCTGACTAGCGATAGACATCCATTTTTATCAATAATTTCTTGTCGGTCATGGCTGAAGAAGACACAGATGATGACATCCCAGCAATTTAAAAACTCCAGACGCTCCGGATAACATGATATCATAGACGCAAGAAACATCAAACAAGTTCATCCGTCGAAACAAAATAGGTTCCTGTGCCCTGACGAACTGTTTACAAGAGTATTTACAAGAGTGTTTACATGACGAACTATTTACAAGAACTGTTTACAAGAGTATTTACAAGTGTTTACATGAGTGTTTAAAGAATGCTAGATGGACCTTTGTGAACCAATTCCTAGTGTTTCCAATTTATTACTTAAGGATGTTGATGATAGCACATGTTATTCCTGTCTACAAAATGGGAAATATGACTCTACCATCGAATGACCAACTTGTAAGCCAGCCCTCGATGGTAAGCACATTATTAGAATCAATAACAGCTGTTGTACATAAAATCCAAGTTGATTCATAATGTGTTGTTTTCGCCATACAAATTTATCGACTATTTAGTAAGGTATTTAAGTCGGTGTACTATAAAAATATGTGATGTTTTGCACTTTATGAAGTATGAGACGCTTGTACTATATGTGGGAATCTTTACTGAGGAAACGTTTCACCAGTCAGTGGCTTCTTCAGTCCAATACAGAGAAGAACGGTGGAAGATGAGGAGGAGTTTGAGGTAATCAGTCCCTCAGCCTGGAGTCGATGTGTTCAGTCCATCGATCTGAAGAAGTCACTGGCTGGCGAAACGTTTCATCAATAAAGGTTCCCAAATGTTGCACAAGTATCTCATTCTTCAATTTGTCAGTTTTCTAAACCATTTACATCACGCGTATTCTACTTTGTCTTGAATTCAGTTAAAGAAAGTGGCAGCACATGGTATTGGAGGAAAGCTGACAGACAGGCAGCAGAAAGTCTGCACAATGGCGGTGCACGGGGATTGCTTTTGATGAATGGGTTAATTTAGTCAAGAAGATTATCCTAGATGAGAATGCTGAGACCCCACAGCATGGAGCCATTGACATCTCACAGCATGGAGCCATTGACATCTCACAGCATGGAGCCATTGACATCTCACAGCATGGAGCCATTGACATCTCCCAGCATGGAGCCATTGACATCTCCCAGCATGGAGCCATTGACATCTCCCAGCATGGAGCCATTGACATCTCCCAGCATGGAGCCATTGACATCTCCCAGCATGGAGCCATTGACATCTCACAGCATGGAGCCATTGACATCTCACAGCATGGAGCCATTGACATCTCCCAGCATGGAGCCATTGACATCTCACAGCATGGAGCCATTGACATCTCACAGCATGGAGCCATTGACATCTCACAGCATGGAGCCATTGACATCTCACAGCATGGAGCCATTGACATCTCACAGCATGGAGCCATTGACATCTCACAGCATGGAGCCATTGACATCTCACAGCATGGAGTCATTGACATCTCACAGCATGGAGCCATTGACATCTCACAGCATGGAGCCATTGACATCTCACAGCATGGAGCCATTGACATCTCACAGCATGGAGTCATTAACATCTCACAGCATGGAGCCATTGACATCTCACAGCATGGAGTCATTAACATCTCACAGCATGGAGCCATTGACATCTCACAGCATGGAGCCATTAACATCTCACAGCATGGAGCCATTAACATCTCACAGCATGGAGTCATTGACATCTCACAGCATGGAGCCATTGACATCTCACAGCATGGAGTCATTAACATCTCACAGCATGGAGCCATTGACATCTCACAGCATGGAGTCATTAACATCTCACAGCATGGAGCCATTGACATCTCACAGCATGGAGCCATTAACATCTCACAGCATGGAGCCATTAACATCTCACAGCATGGAGTCATTGACATCTCACAGCATGGAGCCATTGACATCTCACAGCATGGAGTCATTAACATCTCACAGCATGGAGTCATTAACATCTCACAGCATGGAGTCATTGACATCTCACAGCATGGAGTCATTGACATCTCACAGCATGGAGTCATTAACATCTCACAGCATGGAGTCATTGACATCTCACAGCATGGAGTCATTGACATCTCACAGCATGGAGTCATTGACATCTCACAGCATGGAGTCATTAACATCTCACAGCATGGAGCCATTAACATCTCACAGCATGGAGTCATTAACATCTCACAGCATGGAGTCATTAACATCTCACAGCATGGAGCCATTAACATCTCACAGTGATATGATCAGTAAGATCGAGAGGTCCATGTCGGTACGAGATCCAAAATAATTAAATTTTCAAGATAAATGAAAATTTCTAAGCACAAATGAAATAAATCCAACTTTCCGAGAATTTATATTTTGGATAAATTGCCCGTAACAGCATAAAATCTACACCATATGGTTTAGCTTCAAAAATGCTATCTCAAAAGTTTTGTTAAATAAAGCCACGAGTCATGGAGAGAGGAAGCATTTTCACCTTATTATTATTATTATTATTATTATTATTATTATTATTATTATTATTATTATTATTATTATTATTATTATTATTATTACTATTATTCATAATTATTTATTATTATTATTACTATTATTCATATTTATTATTATTGTTACTGGAGTCAGTCCAAGACGTAATGCAGTGGACAGAATGTATTCTGCGTAACGAGTCAATTACAGTAGTGTCGTGATTCAATGTTACAACTGATGCAGTTTATACCAGTGAGTCCCAAATTGAGTGGCACCGCCCCCCTAGGGGAAGTAGAATCATCCAGGGGGGGGGCAAGGACCGAAACGTTTTCAAATAAATATGCCCCAGTGTTTGCTTACGTGTTTTTCTAAACCAATTCCTCATAGTATATACACCATTGGATTGCGTCCTGCAAATTCTTGAACCCATATGGCTTAGCAGAGCGGTACAAGCCTATCCCTCACGATCCATTAACAAATATATCTTAATTCCTATTGGTTATAACCATAACCATAATTTTTAAAGGGGTAGATAACCAAAAGCTCCAGCTCCAGGTCATCATATAATTAAGACCCGCGTCAGGAAACACTTGTCCTGTTTCAGGACAAAATTTACCTAACCTAACTTAAACTCCATCTTCCTGGGAGCGAGGTCTCATCTCCCTCATGAGTCCTTGTCTCTTTTTCTCTCAAAGAAGGATTATTTAGCAGTTATTTATCCTATCATTGTCCTCCCTTCTTTATCCCCCAGAAATGAAAGTGGAAGGTTAATATATCCTCGTGCAATACAAAAACACTGAAATTATATTCTCTCGTTGCACATTCTTACAAATTTCTAATCTTGCAATTTATGTCAACAAAGATACTTGAGATGAAGAAGTTAATGAGTTAGACCTGAGTATCATACCTTCCATAAACTTGTCTTTTTATTATTATTATTATTATTATTATTATTATTATTATTATTATTATTATTATTATTATTATTATTATTATTATTATTGTTATTATTATTATTTATTTTTTATTATTTTATTATCACACTGGCCGATTCCCACCAAGGCAGGGTGGCCCGAAAAAGAAAAACTTTCACCATCATTCACTCCATCACTGTCTTGCCAGAAGGGTGCTTTACACTACAGTTTTTAAACTGCAACATTAACACCCCTCCTTCAGAGTGCAGGCACTGTACTTACTTATTATTATTATATTATTATTAGTAGTAGAAGTATTATAAAATAACGATAATAACTCTCTGAGAGTTCCAACACTGACTCACACTGACAGCTCCAACACTGACTCACACTGACAGCTCCAACACTGACTCACACTGACAGCTCCAACAATGCAAAACAAACTCTGACAGGTGACTTTCTGTCCCTCACAGGCAACAAGAGCAAGGTGCCCGGGAGCTGGAGTCCGCCTGAGTTTGATGAGTCGCTACCTAACAACATTACAGTCATGGAGGGAGAGTCAGTATCCCTTCCCTGTGTTGTCTACAAGCTCAGAGGAAGATCAGTAAGTATATATGTATATATATATATATATTATATATATTATATATATATATATATATATATATATATATATATATATATATATATATATATATATATATATATATATATATATATATATATATGATAAGGTACCACCTCTAGAACTGTCATGGGGACCCTCATCCTCAGAGAAAAGAATAAACTTGCTTCAGGGAAAACTCAAGGTTCTCCCTGAAGCTGTTTGATTTTGAAGAGACATAAATGTGCAAAACCTTTGTTTAAAACTTTACATATTTTACGGACGACGAAATTAAACTAGAAATTTGAGAAGAAACTTGAATAATTTAGGCAATAAAAAAAATATGCCACTAGCACAATAAAGCAACAACGTAAGTTAGGTTTTAATCAGGACTCAAATGTGAAATAAATGTAAACTGAAAATGTTATAAAAGACAGTAAAAGATAATAACAGAAATATTCTCTTGTAGTTTTAACTTGTCGTTAACACATTATTAATGCGACTTCCTGAAAGAGGTTAGGTTAGGTCAGGTTTGTCAGGAAACAGGACAAGTGTTTCCTGACGCGGGTCTGAGCCAGATGATGACCAGCCGTTGGTCAGCTGACCGATGACTTCCCCTGGCTTATCAGTCCACCCTTCTAAAATTTATGGTTACAGTTATAACCATTTTTATCTTTCTTGAAAGATTATTATTATTATTTAAGATTCGTAAAGTAAAAGGACACAAGTGCAACTAATGTGACATTTATTGTGGCAACGTTTCGCTCTCCAGGAGCTTTATCAAGCCATTACCTTGATAAAGCTTGATAAAGTTCCTGGAGAGCGAAACGTTGCCACAATAAATGTCACATTAGTTGCACTTGTGTCCTTTTACTTTACATATTGTCGGTAATTCTACCAACTTTATTACTATTTAAGATTCGCCGGTATTCTCCCGGCCCGGGCCTTTTCCAAGTGGTGGCCCGGCCTTGGTACCCTGTCTTGGGAGTGTCTGAGACCTAAGTCTCCCATGGGAGGAGGCACAAGTACCCCTCTCAAATTTGGGACCCACTGTCCCCAGGCCTAGCCACATTCCTCGCCCTCACAGGGCTCGTAGGGACAAGCTAGGCCTCTCTGGTCTGCCATCCCCGCCCCAATGGGGCTACTGGGAATGACAGTCTTGTGAGTTACAAGCTCGGGCTCAGGCACCTACCCTGCCCTAGAAGGGCTGGGCATGGTGTCGATCTCCTGAAAGAAGTGATTTTGGAATCTAATTAAAGCTTTTAATAGATAAAATAAAGGGAGAATAATTTTATGTCAATTCCTCAATAATACGTAACTATACGTAAATATACGTAACTATACGTAACTATACGTAACTATACGTAACTACAATCAATGTTTTTAGGAAAATATTTCTAGAGAATTTATTAATGTTACTATAAATGAAAACCAATATTCATCTCAGGTTTACCTAAACATGTCTTCAATGGTAAACTATGGTAGATTATAAAGTAGGATGAGTTCGGTTGATTTTTCATTACTATTAAGTTCAGATTTCAAGTTCTGTTTATGGAAAGACTCCAACAATCTGAGGTCAAGTAGTTATAGCATTTATTCAACATTTTAAAGGAATTTAAGAGATGATTTAAGGCAAATGAATGTACCCGAATTTCAGAATGAGAGAAGTGTGGGTCTACGAAAGACCAAATCTGTGAGGCGTAACTTACGTTCGCATACTCTGACTTTCGGAAACTTTCGTGATGAACTACCAATGTAGCACAACGAACAGTTGCGACACTTGTAACTCACATATTGTCTATAGCTACATATAATATAGCTTTTCTATATTATTTCCACAGGTGTCTTGGATTCGACAGAGGGACCTGCACGTCATATCTGCCAACGAACTCACCTTTATCTCAGACGACAGGTTCAAGGTGACCGTCTTAAGCTGTATGCGAGATGCATGTGAAATTATGACACAGTGATGTCACTGTGATGTGACAGGGATGTCACTCTGATGTTACAGTGATGACACTGTAATATCACAATACTATTATTGTGATGTCATAATGATATCACCGTGATGTTACAGTTTTCTTGGTAGTATCCAAGTGATATCACAGTGATGGCACAGTAATGCCCCGATGATGTCGGTAATGTCACGATGATGTCAGAGTGATCACACAATTATAATACAAAGATATCTCTAATGTTACACTGATGTCACTAATGTTACAGTGATTTAACTAATGTTACAATGATGTCGCTAATGCTACACTGATGTCACTAATATTACAATGGCGTCACTAATGTTACAGTGCCGTCGCTAATGTTAGTGATGTCACTAATGTTATAATAATTTCGCTCATGTTACAATGACGTCTCTATGTCACAATGATGTCTCTATGTCACAATGACGTCTCAATGCCACAGTGTCAGAGTGATGTCAGAGAAACACCTGCACACCGTCGTGTGATTAAGACTGTGTTTATGTCCTGGGACTTGGATCACCCTGGAGCGACCAAGCTCCAAGGACCACAGTTTATCCAATACAAATGTTCTTAGCGTAACTTCCTTTGCTCTTTCCCATATATACACCCATGTTGACTGTGTGAGTATCGTTATATGACTGGTAAACAAAGTAGGTGAATGAGACACATTTTAGGGTATCTTTACTGCTGATCATTATGGGCAATGAAGATAACCAAGTGTTGTGTATGGTTCGTATACATCTGGACGTTTGAGGTCGATCCTAAAGGCTGCAGCAGCTGAGTTGGCAGAATCACAGACGTCTTGCTGAGACCCAGTCCCAGCAAGGCGTCCATCGGAACGAATTTGCTTAGTTTGCTTACTCATTTCTGCAACTTTGCAAGCTCCTGATGATGTGTTGATTGCAACACGAAAGGCCTAGAGCTATCATTCAATTCTCCCTGTGGTTGTTTTGCACACACACACACACACACACACACACACACACACACACCACACACACACACACACACACACACACACACAACACATATATATATATATATATATATATATATATATATATATATATATATATATATATATATATATATATATATATATATATACATATCCTTAATCGCCAATGTCACATACATCAGGTGTCCGGTGTTCAGAGCAGCAACATTTTAACCCCTCCCTTACTTTCCACCTACAGGGTTCAAGTCTTGTTGTCATATCTCCTTTAATCCCTTCAAGAATGTTACTTTCCTCATACTCCAACAGCACGTATAATCATGAAAACCACCTGCTTCCACTCAGTCCTTTCTACCATGTTCACAAGCCTGTTGGATGTCCAATCCCCTGGCCCTCAAAACCTTCTTTACCCCCTCCCTCCAGCCCTTCCTGGGACAACCCCTTCCGGATTTATATGCCCTCCAAGTCATCCAGTTTTGTTCTACACTCTCTATATGTCTAAACCACCTCAACAAGCCCTCTTCTATCCTCTGAATAATACTTTAGGTAACCTCAGACCTTCTAATCACCAAGTTCAGCTTGGTCTTGTATATATAAATCATGTAATAACAGGAAAACAAGAGGATTTACCCTAGGTTGTATTGCTTAGCTGAAGTTCCTAGCTAACCTTCTTAACTCACCTACCAGGTTGGCCTTGGTTCATCTAGGGTTCACCTATATTCGTCTCCTTCAGGTGAACATCGACAACGCCACTTCGTCGTACACACTGGAGGTGACGACCGCCCTGAGGAACGACTCAGGGGTGTACGAGTGCCAGGTGAATACACGACCAAAACTCTCCCGTCCTGTCGTACTCGCTGTCCAAGGTGAGTCCTTACTGTCCAAGGTGAGTCCATGCTGTCCAAGGTGAGTGCTTACTGTTCAAGGTGTCTTACTATCCAAGGTGAGCACTTATTGCCCAAGGTGAGTCTTGACAGTTTTGAGTCCTTACCGTCCTCGCTGTCTCTCTCCACAGTGATTTCTACATTACTGTCTGTCCTCGCATTACAATACTTTCTCCTCACAACAAAATACTTTCTCCTCACAACACAATACTGTGGGTCTCCTCACAACACAATACCGTGTGTATCCCCACAGCACAACACAGTGTGTATCCCCACAACACAATACCGTGTGTATCCCCACAGCACAACACAGTGTGTATCCTCACAACACAATACCGTGTGTATCCTCACAGCACAACACAGTGTGTATCCTCACGACACAATACCGTGTGTATCCTCACAGCATAACACAGTGTGTATCCTCACAACACAATACCCTTTCACAACAGTTCGTGTAACAGTCTCTTCAAAACAATACCTGCAACACTCTCCCCACCACAATTCCTGCAATACTCTCCACAAAATACTGCTATATCGAGCTGGTGTAACTTTCAACACACATTAAAAACTCATTGAACCCTGGAAAACATACTGCTGCGCCATTTTAATCCAGTGTTCACAATAGAGTTCCCAGACACTGATTTTCGGTCTCACTTCTGATCACTTGTTATTAATTGAGGTAATTGTGTAGAGGATTACCGTCTGTTATAACTTGGGATTTAAAGATACGGTAACAGAAGTGTGGTGCTGGTGTTTCTGTTTCGGTGTTTAACTCGAAGTGAACAGTGATTAATTTTTTTAAATCCGTTGAAATAACAGGTTAAGAGCTGTTATCTTACCTCAGCTTATATATAGGTTAAGAGCTGTTATCCTACCTCAGCTCATTTACAGGCTGTGAGCTGTTATCCTACCTCAGCTCATTTACAGGCTGAGAGCTGTTATCCTACCTCAGCTCATTTACAGGCTGAGAGCTGTTATCCTACCTCAGCTCATTTACAGGCTGAGAGCTGTTATCCTACCTCAGCTCATTTATAATCTAATAGATGTTCTCTTACCTTTGTTTACAGACTAAGAGCTGTTATCTTACCTCATCTCATTTACAGACTAAGAGCTGTTATCCTACCTTTGTTTATTTACAGGCTAAGAGCTGTTATCATATCTCAGTTGATTTACAGGCTAACTTCCTCTCTACATGCCACCCATAGAAGTCACCTAACAACTAGGTACCTAATTACTAAGCCTAAGAGCAGCATCAGATGCAAGAATCAGCAGGTATTTAGGATATAATGACCGTGTGGAGAGGACGATGAAGCTGAGATATTATGTTGCGTTATTGTTCTTAGTTGATAACGAACCTGTGCGTTGTTTGCATTGATAATCCTGCGAGTGCCACTCTGTGTAATTGATAATCCAGCAGGTGCCACTCCGTACCCTTGATAATCCAGCAGGTGCCACTCCGTACCCTTGATAATCCAGCAGGTGCCACTCCGTACCCTTGATAATCCACCAGGTGCCACTTTGGACCCTTCATAATTCACCATTTGCCATTTTTTTTATATTTTATCATTGCTATGTTTGAAATCCCCTCCACCGTCTTGTTTCATTCGTCCAACCATGAATCTGTCACAGTGACAGTCATGGTTGAGATGATCTGCTGAAAGAAAATCACTGACAGCATCTTGGGGTCTTATCTCGGTTTGCTGTGTCAACATATTCTTTCCTTGACATCATATTTTAAGGCTGGAATCTGTCAAGGACAGGACAGGTTGTGGCCTCACCGAGCAATGTGGACATGAGGCCACATGGGTAGAGGACTAAGTTATGTTAGGTAAAAGAATACTAGCGCAACTAACCTGATATCTTATGGTGACAACGTTTCGCTCTCCAGGAACTTTGTCAAGTCGTTACAACCAGTACAGAGACACAGAGGGCGTAATATAATCGTTGTAAGTAGTAGTAGTACTTGTACATGTAGTATATAATACTTTGCACCTCACTTTATACTTATATATACCTTCTGTATCCATGTATTATTTGAAACGGCCTTGACAGAGCTCCTGGAGAGCGAAACGTTGCCACAACAAAATGTCACATTAGTTTCACTTGTGTCCTGTTACCTAACATATTGACGGCAAACTTACCGATATTATTACGACGTTGAGTTAGGTTCGTGAGAGCATATCTCCCCACACAACAAACTTCACAACTTAAGACTAAATAATTTTACTTCGGAAGTGAGTATGTTTTAGTAGTGAAGGTACACTTTTTGACTCTGTATAAGTACTTTATATGATTATAAGAAACACTTATTTCATAGTATTTTATAGCACTTTAATGATCTTCCTACGAGCGCTTATGTTGTCTCTGGTGAACGTTGTCTCCTGCGTGTTGACCTGTGGCAGTTTGTTTGTGATATGCTGCATATATAACCAGATTTACTTATAAAGAAGCACTTACACATGATGAAGCACTCACACATGAAGAAGCACTCACACATGATGAAGCACTCACACATGATGAAGTACTCACACATGATGAAGCACTCACACATGATGAAGCACTCACACATGAAGAAGCACTCACACATGATGAAGCACTCACACATGATGAAGTACTCACACATGATGAAGCACTCACACATGATGAAGCACTCACACATGAAGAAGCACTCACACATGATGAAGCACTCACACATGAAGAAGCACTCACACATGATGAAGCACTCACACATGATGAAGCACTCACACATGAAGAAGCACTTACACATGATGAAGCACTCACACATGAAGAAGCACTCACACATGAAGAAGCACTCACACATGATGAAGCACTCACACATGATGAAGCACTCACACATGATGAAGTACTCACACATGATGAAGTACTCACACATGATGAAGCACTCACACATGATGAAGCACTCACACATGAAGAAGCACTCACACATGAAGAAGCACTCACACATGAAGAAGCACTCACACATGAAGAAGCACTCACACATGATGAAGCACTCACACATGAAGAAGCACTCACACATGATGAAGTACTCACACATGAAGAAGTACTCACACATGATGAAGCACTCACACATGATGAAGTACTCACACATGATGAAGCACTCACACATGATGAAGCACTCACACATGATGAAGCACTCACACATGAAGAAGCACTCACACATGAAGAAGCACTCACACATGATGAAGCACTCACACATGAAGAAGCACTCACACATGAAGAAGCACTCACACATGATGAAGCACTCACACATGATGAAGCACTCACACATGAAGAAGCACTCACACATGAAGAAGCACTCACACATGATGAAGCACTCACACATGATGAAGTACTCACACATGATGAAGCACTCACACATGATGAAGTACTCACACATGAAGAAGCACTCACACATGAAGAAGCACTCACACATGATGAAGCACTCACACATGATGAAGCACTCACACATGATGAAGCACTCACACATGATGAAGTACTCACACATGAAGAAGCACTCACACATGATGAAGTACCCACACATGATGAAGCACTCACACATGAAGAAGTACTCACACATGATGAAGTACTCACACATGATGAAGTACTCACACATGATGAAGTACTCACACATGATGAAGTACTCACACATGATGAAGCACTCACACATGATGAAGCACTCACACATGAAGAAGCACTCACACATGAAGAAGCACTCACACATGATGAAGCACTCACACATGATGAAGTACTCACACATGATGAAGTACTCACACATGATGAAGCACTCACACATGATGAAGCACTCACACATGAAGAAGCACTTACACATGATGAAGCACTCACACATGAAGAAGCACTCACACATGAAGAAGCACTCACACATGATGAAGCACTCACACATGATGAAGCACTCACACATGATGAAGTACTCACACATGATGAAGTACTCACACATGATGAAGCACTCACACATGATGAAGCACTCACACATGAAGAAGCACTCACACATGAAGAAGCACTCACACATGAAGAAGCACTCACACATGAAGAAGCACTCACACATGATGAAGCACTCACACATGAAGAAGCACTCACACATGATGAAGTACTCACACATGAAGAAGTACTCACACATGATGAAGCACTCACACATGATGAAGTACTCACACATGATGAAGCACTCACACATGATGAAGCACTCACACATGATGAAGCACTCACACATGAAGAAGCACTCACACATGAAGAAGCACTCACACATGATGAAGCACTCACACATGAAGAAGCACTCACACATGAAGAAGCACTCACACATGATGAAGCACTCACACATGATGAAGCACTCACACATGAAGAAGCACTCACACATGAAGAAGCACTCACACATGATGAAGCACTCACACATGATGAAGTACTCACACATGATGAAGCACTCACACATGATGAAGTACTCACACATGAAGAAGCACTCACACATGAAGAAGCACTCACACATGATGAAGCACTCACACATGATGAAGCACTCCCACATGATGAAGCACTCACACATGATGAAGTACTCACACATGAAGAAGCACTCACACATGATGAAGTACTCACACATGATGAAGCACTCACACATGAAGAAGTACTCACACATGATGAAGTACTCACACATGATGAAGTACTCACACATGATGAAGTACTCACACATGATGAAGTACTCACACATGATGAAGCACTCACACATGATGAAGCACTCACACATGAAGAAGCACTCACACATGAAGAAGCACTCACACATGATGAAGCACTCACACATGATGAAGTACTCACACATGATGAAGTACTCACACATGATGAAGCACTCACACATGATGAAGCACTCACACATGAAGAAGCACTTACACATGATGAAGCACTCACACATGAAGAAGCACTCACACATGAAGAAGCACTCACACATGATGAAGCACTCACACATGATGAAGCACTCACACATG